TAGAAATGAAAATTTTTAATAGTAAGGGACATTTGAATTATGTCCTCACAAATAATTTAGGGACCCATCTTTAATCACTGGAGCAATAAAGTAGATAGGCTAGCATTTAGCTGTTGTAATACAATAGATGATGTTTAATGTATATGTGTATTAATAATTATTCAATAAAAAACCGGTGCATCTAATACTATTCTATTATAAAAAAAAAAAAATTTAAAATTATATCAAATTAAATAATTGTACCAATATCATATTACTTCAACATAATTGTGTCAATTGAAAATTGTTAAGTCATATAATTGCATCATATGTATTTAATTATGCTATTGTGTCATAATTGTATTATGCATCACATTAATTGTATCATTGTAAAAATTTTAAATAATTGTATCACCAGTAAATCAATTTCTACCACATGTATAGTGTATTCTGTAAAGTAGAAGAAGAAATAATAAATCACCTGCTAATAAGTGAGAAAACAAGAATGAAAAGAAAAGAAATATGAGTGGCACTACAAGAAAAGATCATAAAGAAATGGATTCCTAAATACTCTAGCTTCAAGATATCAAATTCAAAAGAAATTAATCAGTTCTTAAAATGATGGAAGGAAAAAATTGAATTGGCCAAGAAACTAATCAATCCAAGTACATATGTGGCTAAAATTATTTTATAGTTGACGCAATTATTTAAAATTTTTATAGTGACACAATTAATATAACACAAAATGCAATTGTGATGCAATTATATTAATTTGCTGCAATTAAATTACTATAATGCAATTGTGACGCAATCATGTGATTTGCTGCAATTGTGCTGCAATTAAATTAATATAATGCAATCATGTGATTTGTTACAATTATTAAATTTGTCACAATTGTATTACAATTAAATTAATATGATGTATAGTGTTACAAATCATTAGTTGAAAAGTTTGGAATTAACCAATCAGAATATAGAGATTTTTAATTGCAACTAGTTGATTATAATTAAAACAACTAATCGATTGGAAAAATTTTAACCAACTAAGATCACTAATGTGAATTGGCTTAAATGGTGCTTAACAGGTCATGGTGCTGGATACTATATTAATTTTGTTCAACTGCCTATACCTGGGTTAAACTGGTATCTTGTGATCTGGACCTGGAAGCATTGACTACTGTGCTATTGACCCACAGGTCATTTATAAAAACCTTATTATATTAATATAAAAATTAAATAATAATCATATTTATTTTGAAATATGAATTTTTATTCATTATATATTTATGAGTTAATAAAACTATCTATTATTGATTGTTTCTTCTTTGACATATAATAAGTTCACAATTGACTTTATACTTTACGCAATTCTAATATTATTTTAACATCAGAAGTAAAATCCTTAGAAGAATTTATCAAAAATTCTATTGCATTATTAACATCTCTTAACACTTCTTTAACCGATACAATAGGTTAAACTGTTATTTCCTTATTAAGTTCTTCAGATTCTTCATTAGGAGAGCATACTATTTCCACAATTTCTTTATCTATTAGACCTCCTCCAGTCATTATATTATTATTAACATTAATATATTCTTCTGCCATTATTGGTTCTTTAAAGTTTAGTTTATCAATTAATTGTTGAATACTCTTAATATCTGATTCAATATCTGCTAACAGTTTCCTTGAATCTGATAGAATACCAGTTTTATATCAACAATTTTTAATTGTATCTTTCTTAACTAATTTCCATGCTTCGACACAAAAATTAATTGTATCCAAAATATTAATCGGCATAATAGCTATTTGAAGTTCAATAGACCGTTCGTATGCATCAATTCTATTTCTTACTAATAATTGTCAATATTGTGCCTAAATACAAATTAATTAAATTAGTTTATATTTAAATTAATAACAATAATTAAATTAACATTACTTTGAAAGAATGAATTATGTCCACATCACATAGCTGTAGATGTGCAGTCGTATTAGATGGCAAATAATGAAACTTAATATTTGTTAGATTTTCGATATTCGAAATTATATGTGTTGGAGCATTATTAACTAAAAGCAGAATGTTACGATTGTATCTTTTCATTAAACTATTAAGATATTTAAGATAATTATTAAAAATGCTAGTTTGCATCCAGGCTGTAGAATTCCAATAATATTCAATCATTAGAGAGCTTTTATCAATTCCATAAAGTGGGCGAGGAGTTTTATACTTGTGAATAAACAATGGAGAAAGTTTCTCGGTTCCTGATGCATTACATGTCAACAAAATTGTCACATGATTTTTAGACTTCTTGATATCAAACTTCGATCAGTTTCCAATTGTCAATATAATGCTACACAATAGAACCTGTAAATAATAGCTTGTAGGAATAAATTAAATATAAATACTTACCAGTCTCATTACAATTAAATATATCTTGGTAATCATAATTACTTATTATGTTATGTAACTTCTTCAAGACTTTCTTGAGAAGCACTGTCCCCTTCACCAGATTTTAAGTATGACTGTACATTATAATGATATTTAAAACCTGAGATCTAGCCAGCCGACCCTATAAAATGATTAATGTCAAAGTAAACAACAAAATCCTTTGCTTTCTGCTTAAGAACGTCAGTAGTGATAGTAATATGATTGTTAACTGCTATATTAAGCCAGATAGCTAATGCAGATTCAATTTGGGGATAGAATAAGAGTCGAATTTTCTTTTTTTTAGATAAAGGTGCATTATCATTGATAGAAAGCCATTTATCTTTATTGCACCAAATATCAGAAATTGTATTTTGCGAGACTCTATACTGCTTCGCCAAGTTGCTTTGTTTAGGTCGTGGTTTCTGAATTGCTATCAGCAAGCCTTTTTGTTTTTTTATGGTTTTAGACGTGATATTATTTTCATAATATGTATATCGATATGCAAATGTTAATACATACTGTATATAATATAGTAGACTTTATTATGATAGGTCAATTTTGGATTCGGGACCACGAATACAAATTCGGAAAAAGTAAGACAAAAAAAATCAAAAACTTTGCGTTTTACTTTATAAATTCAAAGTAATTTGATAATTTGCGAAGTAATTTTGAAAATTAAATGAGAAGCACTTTATTTTACTTTTGAATAGGATATACTTTAACAAGATTTGTGCTTGGTAAACAATTAAGAAGCACATATAATTTTGGCAATGAATGAAGGTATTAAGTATTGATTCTATAACTATTAAAAATTGAAATTATTTTTTTTACTTATTAATTTGTCTTGCTTTTAATATATTGGCCTAAGCTCTTGCATATTGAGAAAGTGAATGCTGAAATATAAATGAAAGACAAGTGTTAAATATGTAAAGGATATAAACATAAGAGGAAATGTGAAGGCTCACTTAAAATTATTGAGACAGAGACTTTAGTGATAGTTATTTTATACATACTTGAAAGTTTTTTTTTTTTTTTTTTTCTACTCCTCCTTCAACTTATTCCTTTTATTTTATTTTTTTTTCAGACTTAAACTGAAGGTAACAAAACAACGGTTCGATCAAAAAAGAAGTAGGATTTTTTTGTAATTCGATGTTTTACAAATTTTACTGAGGAAAATCTGAATTGATCAGGTGACATGACAAAGTTGCTAAAACATAGAGGAGGATTTTCTGAGGATACCAGGCAGCGAGATAATAAGAACTTTACAAAAAAGAATAAAGGTGGCCATCACAGCTCTGGTTAATGTTGCTACTATAATTATTTTAGTGGCCTTTTCTTTTTGAATAGTATAAGTAATCCCATCTGCCAAGACTAAACGCCTCTTCGCATCCGTATTACCAATTTCTACTGTTTTATCATTCATTGCAGTAATCACTGATTCAGGAAGAGTAGCTTGTCTGCCAATTATATTTTCAGTTAAACAAACTACAGCCACAACATTTATTTTTAGTTTCCATTTAATCAACAAAAAATTAATCATTCAACTAACAAAAAATTGCAAGAAAGTCTTCATCGCAATGATAATATTTAAAAATTTATTATGAAAGAAAAGCAATTATTATTTACTTTGAAAGTAATTTATGAAATGGAAAAAAAGGAGCTAGATTTTACTCACAGAAAGAGTGGAGACAATGAAAGTCAATGCACATGGCAACGGAGAACAAGAGTCTTCAGGATTCATTAATGTTGACTTATTAGTCAATGAATCCCATCAACAGCACTGCCTGGTAACAACGGTGAAATTGCTGAGGGATTTAGTAATATGTCTGGTAACGAAAAATCGGTGTCAAAGGACATTGCTCTCAGCGAAGGTGGAATTTCACCGGTCAACTCATCAAAAAAGCATGTGGCGACCAAATTGTATATAGACAATGAAGTTGAAACAGGAAAGGAAACCAGCATATTCCGGAAACTTATCAAGATGGTTACAAATAATATGCAGGTGAAATCGATTCCAAGGCATGAGAGTTTCGCAGTTTATTTCAAAACAAAAAATAATGATAAACCCATGTTATTAAGATACCAAAGTTTTACAGTTATCGAGCTAATACAGAGAAACGAGGCTTACAAATTCGATTCCAGTAAGGTGGCTAATAACAGTTCTGAAAATGTAGAAAAATCACATGAGCTGGAAGTAAAACAAAGTCGATAATTCACCTACCGTAGAGTCAGATAGCTTGATGCT